ATCCCAGGGAAGGCATAAAAAGACAGATCACTTCATATTGTGTTTGAATATACTTAATGCAAAATATAGAATTCAGTTTGTCAATATTTCAAGCGATTGAAAACAGTATTTCTCTGCTTAAAACCCAGATCTTTATGGTAATTTTTAGATACAATATTGCACTACATGCTTTTAACTTCTAAACCCAGCTCATATAACTCTTGTACTAGAACATATAACTTGCAACATACCTGAGAAAGGTATGGGAAGGCAAAAATAGCACAGAAAGGGACAGATCTTTCAGTCACTAACCACAGAGATGGATAGTTTTAGAATTTGTATCTGCTTTCTCCTGGAGTCTGTAACAGATAGTAGGCAATACCTAATCCTCCACGAGAAAGAAGAGACGCATAACACAATTAGACCTACTGTCCAGTACGAGTCCCACAGAAAATAAGCCTTTTAGAGTACAGGATTAAGGGGGAAAAAAAAAAAATCTACCTGTAATGTGGGCATTGGTACAGAGTAGAAAGACAAGTAGCAAGTTGCACCATAAACAAGCTCAAAAAACGTATGATTTACTTTCTCCTAAAGCTTTGTGACAAGGCCAAAAATTCTCTAACCACAAAAATGCACCTAAATGGACATTAAGTAATAAATCTTACTTGAATAAAGAAAAAAAAGATTTAAGACTAACCCAGATACTGATTTATGCAAATCCATGCAAGGCAAATAAACATAAAGCTAAGTACCTATTAATTGAGAAATAATTTTAAACCACAATTTTTGAATGTTCTTTTAACCAATCCATCAGTATGATTGTTTTCATATTGAAGCTCTTTATTATTCACAGTTTTTCATTTATATTGCAACAGTAACCAATGACCCCATTTAAGGCCTTAATATAGTAGATGCTATCCAGCAATGCAGATCAGCAAAAGTCCTGCCCCTAGTAATAGTGACTATTTTAAAAGTATATTAAAAATATAGTACTTTCATTATCATAGCTACTTTAGTATTTGTCTTTACATGTCCTAATTAATAAACACCAAAACTGTCTTTAAAAAATGCAGAACAGAAAATAAAAAAGGCTGTTCCAAAAAAAATTCTGTATTGCTCTAATCCAATCTTCATCAACCCTGAAATTTAAAAATACCTGCTGGGGTAGTTGTTATATTTCTCTTGTAGATTTGAACCTAGGATTATTCACAAATTCTAATGAACACTTGCTTTTCCAGCATTTATGAGATTTTTCACTGTACTATCTGCCTGTACTATCTGCCTGTTCCACCAAACTGATCAAAAATAAGCGTATCAGTCCTATCATATTATGCACTACACCCCTGTGTGAGTGTTGGTGGATATGTACAGAGTATGCCAAAGTTTGTTATTCTGTTTTAACAGCATCATCATTTATAAGCATCTATATTTTTCTACTGTAATGGAAGGCAGCTAACACTGAAAATAGAGCTGCAACAGAGGGAGGAAAAGCTTCTCATTTAAATAAAAATAATTTCTTCTGATAGCACTTTTAATTGTGGAGATAGATTGGCTAATATAATAATTCAACATCATCCATACTACTTTATAAAGGATACTTTGCAAAATTCCCCTTTTCAGGGAAGCCTATGAGTACATTATGTCAGGAAAAAAAACCAAAAAGCTGCCTACATGTAAATATAAACAAAAAGCAATTTAAGAATTTCACTAAATTTCATGCAACTTATTTTGAAAGTCCAACACAGCTTGTTTCTCAAGGGCTTTCTGAAATCCTGTTGCCAAACAGTCACCTGGCTGCTCCAGAAACACTGATGGCTGACAGGATTGGAAGAGAAGGCCTTTAACAACCTCATCTGATATGGCCACTTTTACACTGAGAACAACCAAGGGCAGCTGACAGCAGAAGCAAGAATTTCCACTGACTGCTGTCCTTTTTCAATGCCATACTGTCTTCCTCTTCCTCCTCCAAGTCTGGGGCTCCCCAGCCCCAACAGATTTCAATACTCGCAGACTTCCTGGAGCCACCTTAGAGTACCTTGGAGTACCTTAGAGTACTCAAAATGTCACACAGCTGATCAGTATCTTTTGGAGACAACTAATCTTTTGGACTGGACAAGACAAATTGCATAGTCAGATGTGGTTAATGCTGATGAGCTGAACAGCAAGAGGCTGCAGAGCTCTTCTTGCCATTGCTTTCTGTTCAAACACTTCTGAGATGTCTGAATACCTGAAGAGCATCTACCATTCGACCATATTTATGCCTCTTTGAAACCAATAAAACAGAATTTTAACAACTTTTAAAGCATTCCTGTATGACTCAAGTTCAAGTTGTATAACTAAGAGGTATCAAGAAAATATCCATTTTACTGAACTTCAGGATTTTTTTTATTTTTTTTTTTTTAGTCACAGGAAAAATAATGGAGAAACAAGTCCATGATAACACAAAACTAGTCAGATTTGGAAACACAGTTTTAAGTATTTCTATAATAATCAGCCCTTTTCAAACTATAAAAGCATCAGAATCAAAAGATTATGAAACAGTCGCCCTTTCCTTCAACACAGATTTATGAATCATGTAATAGTTGGTAAAGTTTTTAACTCCAAATTTGGAAAGAACCAAATGAGTAAGTACATGTATCACATTTCACCTGAAAGCATTTTATATACTCCCTCTACTTGGTATTCATTAAATTGAGTAGTGTAAAAAGGTGACATTAGAGCCATTTCATCTGTAACTCTACTGAACTAGCAAGAGGAAGTTTTTCTCATCTAAGCTTATCTTGGAAATCTATACAGCCTCCCAAATACCTTTACTTAGTCTGAAAAAAACATTGTTTACATAATGCTGATGTTACCACCCGGATTGCAATTCTTCGAGTTCTTTTCCATCTCTTTCTAAAACAATTTCTTCTTTCTAAAAGAATCTACAATCCCAGAAAAAAGTAGTCTAACATAAGAAAAGAAAGTATGTTCTGCATATGTGCATCAAATCACAACCAGAGAATAGTCAACTGTATTAAGTATTTTGTTAAAAAGTCTTAAATTGTATCTAAAATACTAAAACTGTGTCAGTGTCATATAAAGTAATTCTATTGCTTTGAAAGGAGATATAATCCAATTAACACTTTTTCAGCCACTGACAGACTACAGAATTTATAACAAATTGAAGTCAATAAGTAAATAGGCATTCAAAAATGAGAAATAACCATTGGTCTCAATGATTAAAATGCTATATGAACAGCTGAAAATGATCAAAGCAGAGTCACCTCCTGGAATAACATTAGTTTCATTCCTTGTACTTTGTGCCATACAGTTTGAGTAAGCAGACCAGAGTAAATCCAGAACTCACCAATATTATTACTGTCTTTAAAAGGTTACAGTTTCGGATCCTGCAATACTCCTTCATCAAACCATTTTTAAACAAGGAGATTTTTTGGGGGGTAGTCTGCAGTCCTAGTGCTTTATTATTTTTAGACTATTTGTCTACAGACAACATCTGGTATTTTACTTAAAATTATAAACTGAAAATTCTTTAGGAAAAGTATCTTTGCTATTACTTGAATTCAGTTCACATTTACATAAAGGCATTACAAGTTCAGATGCATAAAGCAGTTTGACTGGACACTCACCATCAGCTTACCCTATACAGATCTACTGAAGATTTCTCATGTGGGATTTTCAATAATCCTACTTTATCTGTCCATAACTTTTTCCATATTGCACTGAAACTATGCCAAATTATGTTGAAATAATAGCTTCAGCATTTTCTAATCTTATAGCTAATCCTTTCCTTAACTTTAAACACGCTTGCTTTTGGAAGCTGTTGCTGTTAGCCCTTGGCTTTAATACTCTGTGAAGAGGAATCCTGAGGAGTCAGCATGTTTTAATAGTGAACTGGACAAGACAGGAGGACAAAAATAAGAATGATCAGAGAATGAACAATGGCAAAATAACAGGGTTCAGCCATCAATTTTTATCATCCAGCAATTCAAGCAGCTTTGGGCACTACTTAATTGGAGCATAATCCTTTCTTACACAGAAAGTTGAAATATTTTAACTTTATTAAATAAAGTTAATATAAGAAGAAATTGCAAAAGATCAAAAGCACTTGAACTGCTAAAGGTTCTATTGGGTATTTTATGGCCATGTGGCTGGGTTTTGGTAAGCTGAGGTCAGCTTCAGAGCTAGCCTCTGTGGGGAGAGGCCAGATGCTCTCCTGTGGCTGACACAGCCCTTTCCAGCTGGCTCCAGTACAAACCCATTGTAAGGCCAAAGCTTCAGAAGAAACCCATTGTAGGCTGAGCCATATTTGTTTGTGGTACCTCGGTGGAAAGATTTAAGAAAGGACAAAACAATTCACTGGACAGGTAGAAAGGCAGTAGCAGTGCAGGAGAAGAGTGGGAAACAGCAGAGAGAACACCAAAATCAGAGATGGAAATGGTACTCCATTGCACCAGAGCACATATTCCCTGTACCTCAGGAAGGACCCAGAATGGAGGAGATATCACCTGCAACTCATGTGAGAGCCCAACCTGGAGAAAATGGGTATTTCCTGAAAAAACTAAGCCACCTTTTTTTTTTTTTCCCCCAGAAACACTGCAACCCAGAAGAGAGCCCAGGAGCAGGGGGAAAATGTAAGGATGAAGAAGCAGCAGAGACCACAGGAGACTTCCCCTCCAGGACCCCTGCACTGAACAAGAAGGGTGCTAGAGTTTAGGGTGAAGTAGTTAGGTTGAGCATGGGGGAAGGAGAAAGAAAGGTGTTGTTTTAATGTTTGCCACTATCCAAATTTATTTTAAATTTGCAATATATTACATTTATTTTCCTCAAATTGAGTCTGATTTGCCCAAAACAGTAAACAGCAATAGATTTTCTCATCTTTGTTGTAAGGTTTTCTCATCCTATTTTCTCCTTCTGTCCCACTGAGGAGGGGTGCAAGTGGCTGTGTGGGGGTCTGCACTTTAGCCAAGCTCTCCTGCCACACCAGTACATGTGACTGTTAGAACAATCTTTTGACTTACTAGAAATAGCAATTTTCTTTTTCTTTGGACTTCCTGTGTCTCCCATTTCCACCTCAGTGCTCTCACTAGCTGCAGCCTTTCTTCTTTTCTGAAAAATAAATAAATAAATGCATAAATAACAAAAAATAGCAATTGAGCTCAAGTGCAGTAAAGACCATGTAAAGTAGACAATATCCTCACAAGGTATTGCCTTATTTTATATTATGTATTATGAAATGTCTCCAGTCATAGAGAAAATTTATTCCTATATTAACACAAGAATACTGGTACTAAGCCATACACGATTTAAAACAACAGTTCTCCAATCTGCAGATCACTTTAGTAGGTGAAATTTTGATGTAGGAAAACATGAGGTGTTATGATCATAACCTGGGGAGTTTTTTAACTTATACTGGATAAATGTTACAAGAGGAGCAATCTGAAAAACTTAACACATAAAAACATTTTATCCAAAGTTCTTATTAATTGGGTTTTTCTAAAAAAATTACACCACATTAAATTCAAGTTTTTCTGTATCTTTGCTTATTAAGGCTTTCTTTGCACAGCTTAAAAGCAGCTAATACTCACTACCAGTACTTTTTTTTTTTTTTTTTAAATAGCAACCATGGGTTCTATTCCAACGAGAGGTATTTGGAAAACCTGAAATCTTTTCAAGGTACATTATCTTAAAACCTTTAAATGGATAGAACTCTTAACTGTGTATTACAATTAATCCTACTATTGCAAAGTATTCCTGAAGTAGTTATGGAAAATTATTGTTTTAAAGACAATTTTTACAAAAGATGAACAGACCTGCATCAGGCATTCATGAAAAGGATTGAACACTGAAGGAGTTTTACCTTTCCTTCTTTATTTATTTTTTAATTGTATGAGACTAGAGCTTTACTAATACTGCTTTAAAAGTGGCTACAACTTCACACAGCTCACAGAAGAAGGGGAGAGTGCATTACATCTTTCCTTTCCAAAGTGTTGCTTCATGATTACCATCTAAACCCTGCTGGGCTGAACAGATTGGTTCGATAATTACATACAATAACTGCAGTGGGCAGGTAACCCTCAGCTGGCACAGGGCAGCTCCCCTGTGAGAACTTCCATATGCAAACTGCACTGATGGAGTGCATTAGGTACATCTTTCCTGCCGGTGCACAGGCCTGATTACCGCCAGCCAAGACTCCAAGGTTAGCATGTCAGCAGATTTGTGATGCATTAGGCAGGAATAAACACAGACACTTTTGTTCATTCTGACCAAAATTAAGGAGGACTATTTCAGCACTGTACTGCTTTTATATGAGAGATAATGCATTCCTCCCAATTGTACTAGGAAACATTTTAAATGCTCATCAGAAAAACAGATATTCAATACATATTACACAAAGGCAAAATACATTTATCTTGTTTCCAAGCTTATTTAATAAAAAGTGGTTTCTTAATCTTGATGCAGGTGAATTACATAGCAGTAGAAATCAGACAGCATTCATCTGACAAAAGCAACACTTGCACATCTGAACCTGAACATTAGAAGGAACCACAAATCACTAAGATCTGTATTTTTCCAGGCTACTTTACTCCCAGTATTTCCCAGCCACTCTTCAGCACTGAACAACAGTAAAATGGTCCTCGCTCTAAATAATTTAGCCAAGAGCCTGAAATACTTCCTTCAATACATGGTACTGCTAGCTTCTTGTTTGTCTAGAACTACCAGAGAATACCACACTCACAAACTCTACAGGAAAAAAAAACCAAAAGGAAAAGCCTCGAGCAGAGCTGCAGACTATGTTTCATTTACTTATACATCTGGGGGAACTTGAGCCATGGTAAAGAAAATAAAATGCTAACTTTTAATACAGCAGACATCTGTGACTTTTACCCAAATACCAATACTGGAGAATGACTGAGATTCCAGAACAACCATGCTTATATGTATCATATAATGCCCACCATGGCTCAATTAGCTGAAAGCACAGGAGAATCCTACATTCTAAAGAATGTATTTACATTGAAGGTAGAAATATTACCTCCCAGCTAAGAAACAGCATAACTTCAGAATATCAAATAACACTGTTTTAAGAAAATATTATGGTTTGCACCAAAAGAAATGAAGAACAGGAGTGTTAAGACCTGCTGTGATTAAAAGCTCAGTAGAGACAAAACGTCATACATGTTTTGTGTTAGAGGTCACAATCTTCTCAAGGGTGGATACCAAACTGCATTTTCTTTTTCAAATTAAGCATTAAGAATGCCAAACAAAATTCAGCACGCGACAGAAGATCCTGGCCTTCAGAGGCAAAATGCTACTGATCAATGGCAAATCATCTTTATGGAGAGTAGTTTATAATGAAGTTTGGAATTTGGAGCTTATCTTTAAAACACTAAGTCATCTCCTAACCTAGCCTATACTGCAGTTGCTACAAGGCCCACAAAACCCAATGTAGAAGGGTCATCTGTCCTGATGTTTGGTCAAAAGCAAGGTTATGATGTCACTCAATCTTATTCTCTCCAGACATTCTAGCAGTAGCTGGCATGAAGTAGCATCAAGTCCACTGAAATATGAAGCAGACAGCTGAAAACACTTACTCAAGTGGGCCAGTAGCACTCTGTGTTTTATCTAAAGTGCTTCATATTTGTGATAACTGAGTAAGCTGACCATGCATATGGTTCTCTAAGTATATTAAAAAAAAAAGAAACCCAATGAAAAGGCTTACTTCTATTTGATGTCAGGAGGTAAGAACCTACAAAAAAGGATTATCCCACCCTTTTGGAATGGTCTTGACTGATACAGGCTAAAAAGCCAAGATTTTTGAAGTTTTTGTTCCATTGAAAATGTGCACCAGACATCCCTGCTGGACAAGGACATTAAAGGTCACAGATGTTGGCTCTGCAGCAGGCCAACTTACTCAGCAAAGAAACCAGCCAACCATTAAAGACAGATTATTTTTTCCCCAAAATACAGGTCGCAAGCCATATCAAACCACAGGGGAACGGAACTTACGCTATCAAGCTCTCCTTTTGGAGGGACCATTACACTCAGTTCAGTAGAAAATATTAGTATAGAGGCCACAGCTGTATGATTGTAGCCAAAATACTTTTTACTAGGCAAAAAGATCCAAGAAAAGCTGAACATTTATCTTCAGAAGACTGTAGAATCCTACAGGGGTTTTTTTCTTGCTTTTTCCCCATGTTTAACACACTGCTGATCATGTCAGTAAGCAGGCAACGTACTTGTACTATTATCCTGTATTAGAATTCTCAGTTCCCCGGTTCATGCTAAAGGAACCAATAAACTGCCCATCTGCTATTAACAAATGTAAATAAAGAAGAAATAAATGCAGTTTGAAGTAGATGATAATTCCTGTCCTATTATGTGACCACTTTTTCATGGTTATAAGCTGTTTTAACACTTTCCCTAAAGCTTAAGAAAGTCCTTAATGCCATATTCAAATTCAAGTCCAGAGTTTAAGCCTTCTTAAATACAAGGAGGAAAGTGACCCTAGCCTACCAATACAGTTAACACTCAAAAATAACATACCAGATCACACTGAAATCAGTATGTGAATTCCAGAATCAAATACCTGGCATAAAGATGTATGCTTAAAATTAAGTTTTGAATTAGTCATGGAAAGGAAACTAATATGAAACAAAAACCAGACTAATCTTACATGTACTTTGATCCATCTGGAGTTTTACCAATTTAAAGAAAGTAAATTAACCAAATGTTCATCTGTTCAAACGTCATTATATCCAGGTATACAAATTTTATTATCCAAGGTACTATCTACTATGAAAGTACCTCTATAAACATCATTCTACATTAAGTTTTATTAACAATTAGTTAAGTTGAATTAGAGAAATAATGTGTGTAACTACAACTTAAACATTTCACTAGTTAATTATTTGCAACTAGATTAAGTTATGACACCTACTTCCAATACCACTAACTCTTACTTAGCTCAACAAAATGCAATAAAAATTACATGAATTTTTAGAGTAAAACCTTTTGCACAGGATTTCTTGGAAAGTCTCCATTCTCTGCCAAGCCAAAGTCAAGCACGCCATCATCCTTTTGTCCAATGCCCTTGAGACCTTGCAAAAGTATTTCTCGGAAATGCTGATAAACAGGTTTCTCTTCATAGCTGAGTAGCTTCACCTTTTCCATATATTTGGCCAATTCATCTAAAGAAATGGCACCTCCAATTAATTTCTATTTGAAAATGTTTTAATCATTCACTTTTACTACAAAAGAGACAGAAATTATGCATGCACTACTTACGCTATTTTTGAAATGGTTATTTATAAACTCATAATAATTATGTCTTTACTACTACACATTTTAGAAAAAAATTACACCAAGGTTCGTTACCCAGTGGTGACAGCATCACTGTTTTTTACATGCTTATTGCAATGAAGAGAACAGTCAGTCGTAAAAAAACCTAATAGGCCAATCTTCACCAGTGAATGCTTACTTACATGGTATTTCTTATGTCTATATTTAAAAATGTGGGAAAGGAAATTCAATGTTATCTCAGAACTACATTAGTTCAAGACTGAAATGTATACTAAAAAATACATGAAACATCAGACCACTGAAAAAACAAGTCACACTGCAATGAGAAAACTCTTCTGACCACCAGGAATAGCTGGAAATACCTAAATATTAACATTCCAAGGAAGTCAATTTCTGTTAAAGTCGGTTTAAAAAAAAAATGTATTCAGCAAACCACATCTGCCAAACAGGAACAACCTATACTTTAAGTTTGCATTACTTCTTAAATTTCCATATCTAAAATTCCGTTATCTGAATTAAATTAAATTTGAATTAATTTAATAATAATTAAATTGAAAAATCAATTTACACATCGCATGTTTGAAATTAATACTGTGCTTAACCAGAAGCAACACAGTGTCTGTGGTGTATATAACTGCAGCCAAAACAAACAGTCTAGACTTCTCTTAGGCAACAATCTAATTCATGCCACTTTATTGTTCCTGATTGAAAGGAAAAATTAAAATATGTAAAAAGTTCAGTAAACAAGTATTTTAAAATAGCTCCTCTTACCTGGTTTATTTTTCCCAGGAAAGCATTTGTCCATCAAAATGGAAATATTATCTCTACATCTGAAAAACAAAATTAGTCAAGACTACTGTTTCTTTTGAATTTTCAATCTTGTCCTGCTCTGATAAACTATTTAAGTACCTAGTTTGGGCCTAGTTTGGGTCAGATACAAGGAAAACTACTGCATAAACCTCTGGTATGACTCAGTATAGCCATTTGTAGGTGTGCTGCACATTTGAGAATCTGATGAATGTCAGATGGGCCATCTGAAACAGTCTTTGATTCTTAAATGCAAGTAGAAGACTGAAGAAAAAGAACTGGTCCATTCTCAACCCTCACATACTAATGCTAAGGAAGCCAAATAACAAATACTTGTTAATGAGACAGAAACTGCTGTGCTGGGACAACTCTCTTCGTATTAAATATGTGACAAGAGAAGGTTGATCTGGGCTGAGGGGAAGATGATAACATGTTGACATTGAGCCTGAGGGACAAAATGAAAAATAATTTTAAAATCCCCTAACAATAGTGTTCTAGCTGGAATGATGCTCAAAAACATTTAAGATTCCCCTTTAGCCTTCATTTCTGCCACATGTATCAGAGCATGGTGTTAAAGGGACTCACACTCCACACTTCTCTTCCTGTAAAACATGACTGATGATTACCTGCATCCTGCTAAGAGTGCTTTTGGCTTCACCATGGCAATTCTAGAGTGCCAATACCATAGTGGAAAAATAAACATCTCACATACGCAAAAGAAAACAGTAGAACAGTACAAGTGAAGTTTAATTACAAGTCAAGAATGCATGAGACATGAAAGGAAAATGGGGGCTACACAAAAAAATAGCTACTCACCAAAAGGGAACATACTGAAAGTACAGAGCATTTCTACAGAAAGACATTTTCATTTTCATAAGAGAATGGAAACAAGTAGTTTCTCACCTGATTTTTGAGTCTCTGACAAAATTTGGATCTTTCAAATTATCTTCCCATGGTAGATGGCCACTAAGCCAATGAATCATACAGTAACCCAGGATCTCCAGATCACCACGTCTCGATGGTGCTAAATATATATGCACACATAAAAAAACTGACCATAACATCAGCTTAGAAAGCACACACAGTTTAACAGTAAAAATTTATAAATATGTTAAGACAATGCTAACAATGTAACACTACTGTATCTGTTACTTATGTCTTTATTTTAGCATGAAAGGTAGGAAGGAAAAAATACTGTTCCCACATCTGGAAGGATCACTTCATTTTCAAGTCCTGTATCAATCTCTCCTATTCAAAGACATGACATGCTGCAGTTATCCCAATTTGGGAAGCATTTTAAGTACTCCAGTTGTGGAAAAAATAGAACAAGTTGGTGAAGTGATTGACTTTCTGTTCAAAATAGTTTTTACTTCCCTTCATCTATAAAAAGGTAGAAGTGCTGAAACCCCACCTCCCCCAAAAAATATTCTACAATGCTGAATTATTTTATGTGGCCTGAAAACTGAACAAAGGATAGTATGATATCAGATCCCTAAGCCTTCGCAAAAAAACCCCACCAAAACAATTCACATGAACAGTGACCACAGACTACACTAGAAGAATAAATCAGCAGATCCAGTTGTCTTTGATTATGTTACACTTTAAGTATCCTCAAGTAAATAATCATTTTCAACAACTGTTATTTTTTCAGAAAACACTCTCATGCTAATAAAGCAAAATTTAAGAATTAAAAAATTGAAGCTGGTATTCACTATAATTCCTCAATGATTAATCTGACATAAACCTGTCCTTTACATATTCAACCTTTTCTCGCTTACTGCTTTCTGATTTTCAGTGACCATAGGCATAATTAATCAATTAAATGAAGTTTTTTAAGTTAAAATAAAAAATATTTTCACATTGGTAACAGCAACTATTTTTCTCCTAAAACCAGGACCTATTTTTCTACTGAGATCACAAGCACTATTACTTTTCTACTTGGTTTAATAAAAAAGCAATACACTGGACCTCTGATCTTTATAAATTAAGGAGCTCTTAAGAAAGTTACATTAAAAATACAAGTATGAAAAGTTAGTAAATTGAAAAAAAGGAAAAATAGCACATAAAGCACATAAAGCATAGCACATAAAGAAAAAAAAAGGAAAAACATCTTTAGAATCAGAAACCTGGCTTGTTAATTTGCTGCACTGAGTTTTGTAAAGTCTTTTATTTATAAAACAGGATATGCAAATGCCTATGGCTGAGTTTTATATCCTTACCCACACCCTTGTGTGCATCAATACTGGTATATTCAATAGTTCCATCATGGCACCTTTTAGGATCTTCTTTATATACTTTGTGAACTCCTTCAGGACAGTATCGGTAGGCAAGTCCATAATCCACCAAGTACACCTAATAATTTCCACAAAGCAGTCTAAGGTTAAAGAACTATAAATACAAAAAATACACAAATAATATATGCAACTCCCAACCATTCTCATAACTTCTTTAAAAGTATTAAGAATGGTAAGCTGAACAACTCTGAATTATTCCCATTATTTTATTAATCTTAACACATATGATTTGAAAACAATATGTCAGGTAGGTTTTATTGTTTTCCACAAAGCAGTCTGATCCGGAAGTCATTTCTTGCTGCTACAGAAGGCAAGAACAGTTATAGCTAAATAACTGTTAAATAGTTAGTTATTACCAGAAAAATTAGGTCTTAAAAAAAAACCACAAAAACCCAAGTAACAAGCAAAACAAGAAGTAATGTCTATAGAGTTATAAATACACTCACTGTGTTACCCTGTTTTAAGTCAGTTGACCCAATTGAACAATACTACATACTATTATTTCTTATTAACAAAGTAACACAGTTACTTTAAGAGAACAGAAATTACTTATTATTTTACTTCTTTCACAAGCTAAAACATTTGGGCAAGAACAAATACATAATTTGAAACTCTAATATGCATTGTTTGAATAGTAGAGAGTTAAAAATGCAGAAAAATGAAAGACTTACATAAATCAAGTGGAACAATCAACACTTTAAAGACCATTTTTTTCAAGTAACAGAACACTTATCTGATGGATTTCTTGAACAAAGCAAAGAGGTAACAATGCAGGCAGGCAAACAATTTACCAGCGTGCTATATAATTTTAGCCTTCCACCTGCAACTACCTATTTATGAGTCAATTTTTTTTTAATCTCAAGAATTTCTCTAGAATACTATTTAGGCCAAATAGTCAATTGATAACTGTCCAGCAAAATGCATTAAAAATCACAGAATATTAACTAGATATAAATGTCAAGCAGAAATAATGTTACCATATACATTCTTAAAAATGAGCTTCTGCTAGATTTCACAGGTTCAAAGCACTTTCAGTGTTGTCAAATAGAAGGTTTAAAACATGAGGAGTAAAATGCATTATAAATACCTGATTAGAGTTCTTGTAACTCAGAAGGAGGTTTGCGGCCTTGATGTCTCCATGCACATATTCATGCTCATGGACATACTCCAGAATATCAAGCTAACAAAACAAAAGTCATGTAAATGCAGTACCCAGAACTGCCCACCAGAGGACCTGGAGTCGGCACAAAAGTGGGACTGAACTGAGACATTTACATAGGGACGACGGATCGAGAAAATAAAATGTATTTTTAAAACTTACTATTCTCAGGCCTAATTGTAGTACAGTTTTATGGGAAAATTTCTTTGCATTCTCTTCATACATCTTCTGAAGATCTCTGCCAAATCGGTCCATTATCAAAAATCGATAGCTAAATTCAAGGACAAAAAAAAAACAAACAAAGCCACAAAACCAGCAAAGTTACTGAATTGTACCGAGGGGAAATATTTTATCTGTGTGTTAACTGTACTAACTAGTGACTGAATATGTCTCTCTCAAAAGAAACTGTGGGAAATACTTGAAATACAGGGGGTTTTTAACACTGTATATCAATTCTTACCTTTTTTACATCAGCTACTCAAAATGTTCACCCATCAGAAAAACTAATCCTAATCTCTCTAATCTAGTTATGTAACAAAGTAACTCACAGAGGAAAACATCCCTATTGTAACTCACTATAGGCAAAACCAAGCATCATGTACTTACAAAAATACATTTCTTAGTTTTTATAAATGGCTAAGTGATTAAACATGTTCATTTACAATGCTCCTTTACTGAAATCTATTGCAAATATTTTTGACCTATTGTTAACAACAAAAACCCCTCGTTTGCCAGAGGTGTTCTAATACTCATTGCTACAGCCAAACTATAAGTTCTAGTTCTAGAACTAGAGCTCATAGTGGCTGTATTAAAGAAATTCATGCACTAAGCACCAAATGCTAAGTCACTTTTATTTGCAGAATAAAAAAAATGCTGCATTTACTTTTGCTCTCAAAATGAATGTTGTTTTTTGGTTAGTTTTACAGTTGGGGACCTACTGAAACACTGATATTTCTGATGTACTAAGGCATTCACACCAACTGTCCTATGCAGTGAGCCACACAAAGAAGCCTGACCTACTGTAAGCTGCCAGAGAACTACCAAAACCCCTTTGCAGCACATCTGTGTGGAGAATGGTCACTAGGAAACAAGGACTATTACATAAGCAGGCATTAACATTAAAGACCAAGTCACAAAAACCTTTCCTGGCATAGAACAATACTAAAAACTATCCCTAGACTTAAAACAAATTTAACTTGAGACTAGCAATTATTCTAGCTCACATATTAAGCCAGAAAAAGCCCCAACCCTAGGGAAAATAGAACAGATTTGAGATAACATTAAGTCCTTAATATTTGTGAGTGAAAATACTCTTTCAGTGCACACAACGAGAAAAACTTTAGTCCTATTATTCCAGAACTTGTACATTAGAAATTTACTTTCTTTTAATTAAAATATAAAAAGCTCCTAAACCACATATACAGAAATAGCATCATGGCTTTATACAGCAATGTTCACAACAAATGAAATCTCAGTTATGAAGACTGTAACACAAATAGGAGTAACAAACAATACTGACAAAATCTATCTATTTATATAGCCCTTAAACATACCCTTGCCATGCACATGAAAATTTGTAGCAGAAGTGAACAACATGAAGATAAGCGGAAAATACACCTTATAAAGTAACTTAGCCTGAAAGAGATAATGATTGTGGATGAAACAAATTCCAATATGTGTGAACAAAAGATATATTCACCTGTTTCCATTTCTTTCATGCAAGCCAGAACCCCAATATCTTGGTACACCCAAATATTTCAGTTTATGGGACTTAGTCCACTTCTGAACTGAAAATACAAATAAAGTTAAGTTCATTAATTTGCATAAGTAGAAACTTATATAAAAAGGGAACAGTCACATCACTTACAGTTTCTGCATAACTGTGAGCTGCTTATTTCATGGAAATGTGTATGCAAAGTACACAGGAAAGTTAATCACACATCCATTGTAGGGACAGAGATGCAACTCAAGTTTAAATTTAGACAATACTACTAACAGAACTACAAAGAACTTCTTACCAAAACCCTCTAATTTACTATATATCTGAAATCAATTTCAGTAATTGAAAAATAATTTTGAAAATTACCTGAAGAGATTCTCAAAGTTCAACCTTACTTTACTACTACAGGCTTTATTTTCATAAATGCTTGTAGTTCATTAAAAACATTTTAATAGACTGCTTACTTTCATCTGGCTTAGCAGCTCGCATGTAGAACTTTAACTCAGTAAAAAGAGGTCCATTCTGGCTGGGTTCCTTTAAGACAATTTAAAATTCATTAAAAACTGCTGCATTAATGCCTAATAATACTTATTAAAAGCTGAAACATTTACCCTATAAAAACATTCTCCCTTAAAGGCTCTACCTGATGCTGAGAAACTCAATAGAGTATCTTCTTATTTTAAAAGAAATTTAGCTCTAACAGCTATTTTTATTATATATGGCTTGACATAAAGGGTATCAAAATATACTGTCCCACAGCAAAAGAAAAAAGAATAAGAAATTAACTGAAATATATAGAAACATTAATAATTATTGGCAAAATTTTAGCAGAGAACATTAAACAATATCTTATTCTCTAGATTACAGCTGGATTGCATCAGTTGTAAAGCTTTTAGTGATTTTAAAATAACACCTCAAATGATTTAATGAAAATCTTAACAAAAGTTAAATTCTTATTGAACATAAGGCATTTTGTTCCCTTCATACATTACTTGACCAAGGTAAGAATAACAGAGGATTTAAAAATTTCTCTAAATTTTAAGAACTACACCTATTTCAAATTCAGAGTCTACCTTTTATTTAATACATTTCAGTTCCATTTTCAATGGACAAATCTATGGGAACCATGTATTACATGTAAAGCTCAAGAAATAAATTCCTATGAAAACACCAAAGATTTGAAATACTGCAAGAACAGCATATGGGCAAGTATCTTGATTCTACATTTCCAGAATTTGGTAAAGAAAAAAAAAAAATACCTCAATTCTTGTAATTTTTGAGTAATTGATTTTGAGATGAGCTTAAGTACTATATTTTTGTCTACTTACTCATATATATCCAAATTCATTCTATCTCAGTGAAAATACCTGTTTTGGAATATCCTACACTTAAATAACAAAACATATGCAATTACTGGCAAAGAAACTCAAGAATAATACCATCACATAAGATCAGCTACACATCTATCTTAAATGGGTTTAATTTTAACTTTCAAATGCAGATGTAGTGATCCAGCAAATTGCCACAGGCCAGAGTGCAACACTATCTAAGAAAGACTCACTGCTGTCCAACCTCATTGGACAAAGCAGAGCTGAAAGCGCCCCTGACCGCCGGCTTTGCTTGCTCTGATGTGCGGGCTCGGGGGCTGGGCTGGAACACGGGACACGCTGGGAGCAGATACCCCCAGCCTGGGCACCACTCCTAGGCCTGCACACTTGATTACAAAGCTACTGCCCGTCTCCACCTCACTTTCTCCAGCAGCACTGCCCTGATAAACAATGGAGCCAAGACAGCTTTCTGGCCTCTCCTCGTGAGTAGGAACCAGAAAAAAAAAAAAAAACAAAACCAAAGACAGACCAAATGATCAACACACACAAACTTTGGTACCTGCACATTTACTCTCACAGTTAGTTTATTCATCCACAATGGACAACAAATTAGCAATACAGAGATTATATATGCAGATGAGAAGGGTTAAATAGATTCTGCTACTGCAGTTACCTCAAACATGCATTACTTACATTACTTGACCTAGTCACTTGATGCTGTGTAGCATTTTCTATTAATTCACTAACTTATTAGAATATGAAATCTCATATATAATTTTCATTTAATCTATATAGATTTGAACAATGTTGTTTTCCTACTAAAATTCACAAAAAAGAAGTAGGTGTTAAAAATTCTTACAGTATTTATCCATAAATAAATTATTCCACAAAAATTTATGTCTCAGTGCTGAAAATATGTACCTTTCTCTGCTCAGAAACAAAAATCTGCTATCTTTTCATACTTGAAGGATGGATAAATGATTTAACCATAAACCAGATCTTTATGTTGTCTGTGAAGGTGTTTTCCCACAATACCATTAATTCTACCTACAGATAAATAAATCCATATATGATGCTAAAAGAGCTTACACAGCATCCAATATTTGTCATAATAGTCCAGAAGGAGTGCAAACACAAATTTCTACAGATTTATGCCCAGGGTCATTCTAAATACATGACCTATAAAACTGAAATTAGTCTTATTCTAAAAGATAACATAATGAAGATTATAGAGTACATGGCAAAACCCAACGAAGTTCAAGTAGTGTTTTAAGAATTCTGATCTTTTTCAGTCAGCAATGTAATGAAGTGTAATTAAACCCTGCATCCACTCCTGAACAATGACACCTGAAAGGTCCACATGTTAAAAAGCATTTCTTTTTTTAATAAAAGCTGTGATTCATTTCATACTGCTCAGACATCAATACTATGAGGATATGTCAAAGACTAAGCCAATTTCCATCCTGCTTTAATAGCTTAATTTGAAGAACATTACTATAGAAGTGCATATTTTGTTAAACACTAATAATTGTTCAAGGCTGTTAACCACTTTGCTTCAGCTGATGGAAAATCTAGAATCCACCCAGGCATCAGAAAATGGGCTCTTATCCATAGCTGTGTTATACCAGACTGTAGAGGCATAATATGTTATGGGTCATTTGTGAGGCTAGCACAAAGACTGGGGCTACTCTTTATTGCCATAAAGACAAAATCATGAAAGTCAAATTAAAAGTGAGTAGTCATCTGGGATATTAGCAATGGAGGTATTTCCAAAATGCTGCAACAAAGCAAATCTAGCATAGGAGCAATTCAAAAGTTTGGCCAACTCTTAAATTAAGAGCCCAAAGCGGAGAGGATGGATGTGTTTCAAACTAAGGAAAAGAGGGTGACAGCAATTACACACAGCATAAAGTAAGGCCTATCTGATGGTTTTCCCAGCAAGTCAAACCAGATTGTTCCATGAAAGTTAAATGGTGCTCTGCTTCCTGATCAGTCCAAACTCAGCAGGAACAAGTAATTAGAAGCCACTGCCTCTCCCAGGCAAGCCACTGCTGTTATCTGTCTCTGAAACCGATACACCATGGACACCCCACCCTCAAGAGGACAGGCTGAACATAATTACATAGGTTGCCACCACACACCGGCAGTTTGGGTTCCTGGTCTGTCTGGAATTCCTGCCCACAAACACCTAAGGCAGCAGCAGCAGGTTGATGTTCAAAGTGTGGCAGTCTGACACTTGCTTAGCAAGCACTGCTTTTTTCAGCAAGGGACAACATTTTGGAGGGAGGGTCATCACAAACTGTACCTTGGGGTGTCTGAACAGTATCAAAACCAGTATTCTAGAATTTTACTTCGGTCAGCTGATGCAAATACCAAGATTAAAGGCATATACTAACCAAAATGTATTTTACTCTAATTTCAGGAAAAAATGTTAAAAGCACTAACATATACACAAAGTGGTTGGCTACTGCAGCAAGGTATTTCAGTGTCACCATATAGTTTAATAAATAAAATGTTACAACAGTACATTTCTGAACTGCGCTGAAAAAACTAATCTTTTACACTGTGAAGTTCTTGTACAGTTTTCTGGTATTTACTTTTATTGCAGGAACAGAAGCACCACCAAGAAAATGAAGGGTCTGGATCTACTACGACTATTCCCATATTCCCTGTTTTTTTACAAAGACTTTACAAGATCTTACCAGATCTATACAAAATACTCAGGCAAAATTTAAGAAAAAATAATTTATATCTTAGGAAGAGAAGCAGCCATTTACAAGTAAATATTTTTTTTTAAGACTAAAACCATTAGAAAATTTCAATTAATAAAAAGAATTTGCTGATTTGCAACAATGGGCTAAAAAGGAGCTATCAACAATGTTTTTTCTTCTCTCTCATCATTAGGCTAAAAATTATGTCAATGTTATTTTAGTTCAATAGAAATTAGAACATATATGTAGTTTATGAAAAAACATTTAAAGAACTTTGTGGAGACCTCAGGAATTAAAGTTTTGCTGTTTCTAGTCACAAGCCATCTGTCATTTATCAACATCCAGTGGTGAGCAACAGTTCAGAGACTCACTGCTGTATCACAGAAATTCTCCAAAAGCTAGACAGATTTCATTAATCTGGGGGTAGCTGTGCTGTTTATAGGAAGCAAATGAAACAGAATCTGATCCATTTCATGGATCTTTTTCAACTCAACTGATGTTCCATTATGATGTTCCTCATATAGAGGGGTCCCAATTCTCATCAGCGTTACTCTGTATCCCCACACTCATAAACAGCACTTTGCAATTGCACTATTTTAAGATAATGTTTTAAATTACACATTCTATTATAGAACAAATATTTTCAAGTTGTGAAGTAAAGATTCAAATGCTCTCTTACCACTTTTGCAACATAAGGGGCATCACTGCCAACCGACTTTGAAGAATTAACATCAGCTGTTAAAAAGGAAGCTTTTATTAGTAGTAGGAGAGGAAAATGTCACACAACATACACTTACTTGTTATGTCGGATGGACAAGCATACAACAAAGTAACTAAGTGCTGACAAGAACAGAGACCTGTACCTTAGCCTTTGGTAAGAGACTATACATGAAGGCTACTGTATACAGATATTGTATTCTTGCATTCTCCCTTCTGTTTGAGGAGTACAGGCAGTTTACTAAATGTAGGCCTTTTTTTTTCTTTTTTTTTATCCAGTAACGTTTTCTTATTTAATAGTGTTTCTTTTGCTTTCTAGGACTATTATAAACATCCACATTTGTGGACATAAAGAAAAAAAATAAATTCCATGTTGCCATGTCATGCATCCAAAATTGACCTTCTGTTGCTACTAAGTTGTTGGTATTTGTGACAGAAGATACAGTTATGAAGCACATCAAGTTAGGCAAGTACAAAGTACAGGGTCAGGGTCACAGCTTTGAGCAAATGATGGGGAAGGAGAGAACAAGCTTTGGCTTGAACAAAGGAGGAATTTGAGTGAGTTGGAACTCCAGTAAATTTAGTAGCTCATTGAATGAAGCTGAGTAAGAAGTTGAAAGCTTCTTTGGCAAAAAGCCACCCACTGGTTTTCTGTTTTTCTCCTTAACCTACTTATGCTGCAGTCTGTTCATTTCAAAAGCAGGACAGATCTTTTTTTCCTTTTTTCCAACTTAGTATGAATCCTACACAACCTTTTCCCCAAGATAAGGAAGACTATATTATAATGATTATATTAACTTTCATCTTTTCATAATTGTTTGAAAAATGACTAGGGGCAATGAAGCAGAAAAGTCTCAAGACCTCTCTTATCTGTTCATCTGTCCAAGTGAAAGAGATACTAAGTATGGAACACTATTTCGCTTTAAGAAGTTTTCCTTGTAACAGAATTGCAAAACAAGACTTGAACTGAGGCTTTAAACTGTAAAGTCATACACTTTGATTTGTTTTAAGCATTGGTTACCTCAAAAAAAAAGTATATGGCATGCCAAAAGTTCACAAGGCAATGAAAAAACAAAAGCAATACTGAAGTTAAAACCAGTCCAAGTACTGGCTGACCAGTAGCCTCCAGATAATATGCATCGATAGCGTCAGTTCATAATTCATCATAATAAATACACTCATACAAAAATCCAGTCTTTCAGCCAGACCAAAATTTGAATTGAAATAAATACTAAACTATCCTTTCCATGGCTATAAAGCAATAAAGTTTTTGTTTTTTAAAAAGAATGAACTACCACTGGAAACTCCTAAAACTAGTGCTTAAAACAACCATTTGTCTATTTCTGTCATTTTTTTCCAACACCATGACCTAAGCTAAGATCACAGTAAGACATTCCACATTTCTGACTTGGAGACAACTTTTCCTTGTTTTGAATGGGGATAAACATCTACTCTCCATTTTAAAGAATTATCAAAGATAGCTACACTTACCAAGATATAGGCGTCCAAAGCCTCCCTGCCCTACAGGGCCACCTAATTTCCATTCTTTTCTTGATGTATCTGCTAGAACCTCCCCCAGACCAAACATTTCAGCAAGTTTCCTTTTTGCAGGGGCTCTTTTTGCAGCTGTTTTCTTATTTGGCATTTTTCCTAGAGAAAGGGAAGTAAAAAATAATAATAATGTTACATGTTGATCCAATTTATTGTTAAAAACACAAAAAAGAATGGGTCATTTAAGTCATAATTTGTTACTACAAAGATACTTGAAAAGAAATGCAGTGAGCAGTTTCATTGGCATGAATTAAAAGTGAGAAACAACTAATTTTTCCAGATATCACAAAAAAATTTGACAGCAAAAATCTTCAGAAGAGAAACCTATTACAAGATCTCGTATAATAGATGCTAAAAAAATCTTGGAATCTATCACATTCAATCAATCACAACCAATCACAGGTCTAAACTTAGAAAAAAGTAAATTTATGAAATAAAGCTCATCAGTTTTCTTAGAGTTAAACTTGCATATTGAAAAACTGCAAGTTTTCAGTCGTAATATGAGGAATTTCTCTTAGCTGTAAAAAAAAAAAGTCTAACAGTTAATTCTTTTTTCTACTATGTACCTGCAAAAAAATACAAGTCTAGTTATTGTTTGCAGGGCAGCATTGAGTAGGACATCAAAAAAACTAGTATATAACTACCTACATTGAGATCTCAAGTGTGAAAGTATTACTCTTGCCTTCTCACAACCACAGGTTTTAGATAAGCAACATTCCCAGAAATAACATAACAGCCCACTGGAATATGCCTCTTTCTGCAGAATAGAATCATAGAATGGTGTGAATTGCAAAGGATATTTTAAATGTCATCTAGTCCTGCAATGAGCAGGGGCACCTTCAATCAAGATCAAGTTCCTCAGAGCCTCCTCCAATCTGAACACGGTTTCCATATATGGCGCATCCACCACCTCCCTGGGCAACTGTTCTACTGTTTCACCAGCCTCATTGTAAAAATGTCTAACTTCTGTATATTCTAAACCTACCCTTTTTCAGCTGAGAACAATTACCCCTTGACCCATCACAACAAGCCCTGCTACAAAGTTTGTCTCCATCTTTCTTACAGGCCCCCTTGCAAGTACTGAAAGACTGCAAAAACGTCTTCATGGAGACTTCCCTTCTCTGGGTGAATAATCCCAACTCTCTCAGCCTCTCATAACAGAGGTGTTCAATCCCTCTAATCATCTCTGTGTTCCTCCTGTGGACTCACTCCAACAGGTCCCTATCCTTCCTGTGCTGAGCCCCAGAGCTGGATGCAGTGCTCCAAGTGGGTCTCACCAGAGCAGAGCAGACAGGCACCATCCCCTCCCTTGCCCTGCTGCCCACGCCGCTTTGGATGCAACCCAGGACACAACTGGTTTTCTGAGCTGCTTGATGACTCATGTACAGCTTTTCATCCACCTTCCAAGTCTCTCTTGGAAGAAGGCCTCCTTTTTGAACAAGAAAATCTTTTGAGGTTTTAGTAGAATCAGACTTTGCTACACTACAAGAAATTACTGAATATGCAGCCATGACACAGCAAAGAGTGCACTAGGTCTCTTTACATGAAAGGCCTTCATAAACTGTTTTACAAAAAAACTGATTTTTCCCTCTCCCTCATGAAGATAAATGTCATATAAACAAGTCACATTTATTTTCTAAAAGATACCACTCACTGGTGGGATTTTATTATTTTGCTGGAAGCAGGAAGCAATATTAATAAACAACTGGGGAAGTTTCTGGATAGCAAAATAACTTTTTCCTAGCTACTCAATACAATAACCCTAAGCCAAACTCGGTTGTTTAGCATCAGTTTTCCTCTTTCATTTCTAATGTTCCTCTAGGTTTTCTTTTAATTTCACAAAGAGAAAATTGCATAACTGCGACAATTGTTCCCAAAGCACTCCCCCTCCTACAAAACTTTTCTCACTGGGTAGCTGCAGTAAATTTTCTTCCTCAATTGATGCCTGTCACCCAACCAGCATCCAAGAGAGAAGCCACTTGTCTACTTACTAAAGGAAAGAATAATTGTTAAGTTGCCTGAAAATGTTGTTCTGTCCATGAATGCTCAAGTATATAGCTGTGATTGACCAGACCCCTCAAAGTGGAATGTGACAGAATAAAGCCCAATAGAGGATAAAAGACTCGTGGAGATGGAGAATGGTGATGAGCCCAAGGAGCTCTGGCAATAATGCAAAGGAACTCACAGGAGCTCAACACAAATGGTGCCAGTGGGCAGCCTTTGTTTTAGGAAAACAGCTAAATGACAGTTGAGTGGAGCTCAGAACTGCTAACTGGATCAAATGGAGATGTAAACGTCTCCCCAAATTAGCCAGGCCAGCTTGGAGGTAGTGAGTCAAACACAAGCATGCAAAAACTAAATAACTAGCAAAATAACTTTGAAGAGAACAATGGGCTTGGGCTGGTTGCAATCCAGATATTCCTTCTCAGTGGCTGGGGACACCAGCATCATGACAGTCAACATACTACAGAGACCAGTAATGAGAATCACATCAGTACCATGATTGATCTGTGCATTGCAATTGCTGTATTTTGCCAAGTGTAACTTACATGTGTATTGTTTTCAGCATATTTTATATCACTTTCCTAAATCAGAAACCTTACATAGCATCAGCTATCTTCAAAGAAATAAATTTGATATTAAATATTACATCCTTTATCCATGGAACATCTAAAAGAACTTAATCAGAGAGTAATAGACTCTGGCAGCAACCAGTCTCCTAACACCACAGTCACTCAATATATACATAAATACAGAAAAGAAAGTGTACCATTCCAGGCCAAAGTTCTTTTTCCTTTAGGGTCCTTGTTAACTTGAGAAGTATCTTTGTGTCATGGAACCACATCTGAATACCTATTCAATATATTATTTATATCTAAATGAGTAACTTCAACAAAACACTTTTATAAAACACATCACAGGAAGATACTGGTATTTATCAATACTTACACCGCACAAGCTTCCTCATTATCATAAAACACAATGTTTTAACTCTGCATTACTTTTCCATATTTCCACTTCCATATAGTAACATTCTTCCCTATTATCAAGACACATCTTACACATAAATTTTAAGACTAGCTTTATCCACATCATTATCCACAGTGTCTTCAAGAAACTCCTCTCTACATCCCTTTCTCTTTTTTTTTTTAATCTTCAAGGTGATACATAGTTTACTGTCTTGGAGAAAGATTGTTCCTCCAGATTTTCTGCAGGAGAAAAATGAGACTTTCAAGCACCAAAGACAATTCCAGCCAGCTCAGATAAGACCATGCCAATGAGAAAGCAATGGTGTCAAAGTGTCAGAAGGAACGGAGTGGTAAAAAAGGCTACATGTTGATATCACTTACAAGAGCAGGCCAGAAAGATCACTGCGGACCTTTAAGCAGCTTCACAGGACATCTAAGTCAGGAAATGGATTAAAACAAAGGGCAGACTGAAATTATTACAAGTGCTAATGGAATAAACCCAAAGTCTGGAGCCCCAAAGCTGACTCAGATAAGGCAAGAAAGTGCAAAAATCAGCAGCATTGCCCAGTGACTCAGATGCGGGACAAGATCACACACACCATCACCTAAAGGATATCAAAACGTATCCAAAAAGAGCATATTTGTCCTCAAGCTAAGAAACAACTTATTGCCGATATAAGAACCATGCAGCGGGCTTGAAGGACTGCACCTCCTTGATTTCTGAGTTATTACAAATAATTTGGGAAAGACCTGGACAGACGCTCTTAGGTGCTTGAGTGCTGGACAGATTGCTGCCTATAAAAGAAAAATTTGTAGCCTCTCCTACAATAAGGCTAGCAAGCCTGTGAAACAAACCTATTGATATACTCCACATCTTTGGCATTCACAGTGAGACTCTTGATAGCAGCCTTGCTCAAAAAGGAATTAAATTCACTTAAAATAGCTCCTCAAGAGTATCAAAGGAAGAGCTGGTGTTTCCCTCTTCTTCCACACCCCCGCTTATTTTGCTTAACATGGTCAATAATTGTATGCCTGAAGGTATTTATTTTTTTTAAAAAAATTGTTAATGACAACTTCCCTTTATCCATAAAAGCAAAAATTCGAAATGGACATAAGTTTGAACGTCCCCAGCTGGGAACCCTGCCCTTAACAAATACACTAGATACACATACATGGTTTCTTGGCTGTCTGTATTCATACCCATCTGTTAACATGGCACTGTGCCTACTTACAAGTTGGTCAAACTATCAGTAGGCCATAGGTGCCAAACACTGATCGCTTGCAATGGGCAGCATTCACAATACTGAGCACTCACTCTCTTACAAAAAAGCTGTTACCCAAGGAAATATTTAAGCAATGGCTGCACATGCTTTCACATTTATTTGGATAAATCCATTCAAATATATTCTGTTGATTAAAACCAAAGACACCTGGACATAGCAGAAATTTTCTACATGAAAATACAGAACTAGAAAAAAAAAACACTATAAAAAAATTTAAAAAGACAAAATTTAGTGCAAATTCTATCATTCATGTGCTTTTCAACTCATAATACAGTAAATACAAGTGGCTTGTCAGGAAACTTAAGCAACAACAAATACGACATAGAGCTGTCTACTGTATATTGCACAACTGGAATAAAGCTATCTACTTCTCCCTAAAATCACCTTCAAAAATTCACCACCACCATCCCTCCAAAAAAAAAAAAAAAAGCTCAAACTTTCCTCTCAATACTTTTTCCCATCAACAAAAGGAAATATTTTCTATCCACAGGTATTGTGAAGTTTAATTCATTAGTTCCTGCAATCATGCTAAAGTCCTTGGAAACAGTCCCATGGATGTCAAGTACTGTACTATCATTCAAGTGTCAGACCTGACCCTACTTAGCTAAGGTGCCCGATAAGAACAATTTTCAAGGTGCATGATTGTAAACAGCAGCATTTTATGTCACTACAATGTGCTCAAAACAAAGATTTTCCTACCAAGAAGTATGAATAACAGAAGTCTATTTGTCTAAACTCTCTCCAGAAGCCTCTTAGTACTACAAAGGCTTCTACCTAATAAAACATCTTGGAAGAAACACAATACACTGCACTTGAGATAGCACTATTGATGCAAAATTGTCTGCATATCAGTGGTGTTATCTTTACAAATGTTGTCAGCTATCGTTGCTACTTAAGCAATACTTGAACTCTTGGAATAAATATGAATAGCCACTTCTCAATTCTTGTTGCCATTCATTATCAACAAAACCCTGAAATGAATACAAAACAAATTTATTTTTCAGGAATTTCTGCTGTGTGTCAAGCTGAACTGGTTGCTTCCTGATCTTCCTCTTTTATTCTCTGGAAATTGTAATTTTTACAGTTGTTTATCTTAGTAGGACATATTTCCATTGTCAACCCAGAGAAGACATGCTGGTGACCTGTGCTCCTAGCTGAGCAGGTAATTCCAGCAAGACCTGAAATCTGTATATAATTAAAACTGTTCATTAGTCAAAGCAAGAAATCCACAACTGCCTGAAAAAAAAAAATTAAGAGAAGGAGAAAACAAAACAAAATTTTTGCTGAAGGAATGGGGAAGAAAGAACATGACACTTAAAGGCTTCTGAAAATTGTAGAGTTGTTTCATGGGAGGGACCACACAAAAAAAAACCTGATTGTCAGTGACTTGTCACAAGTGAGTTAGGTGGTGAACAAAGACTTTCTTGCATAAATCAGACATAAATTGGACTGGTTGATCATTGTCTGTGAAAACCTCTCCAATCTAAGTTCCTGATTAAGATACCGGACAGCTAACAGCACTTACGGAAGAAGAGGCCCTAAGGTTCTCTCCCAAGAAATAAAAAACAAATTTCTTTTTTAAACAAAATGAACAAATGCTATTGGTGGACCCCAACTCCTGAGAAATATGTAATCACAACAGCACCACAGTGGACTAAGGAAATGCCTTTTTGCCTTTTTTTGCTAAACAAACCAAGATGACTCAATATTTCAAAGTTCAGGGGTAGGAAACAACCATTACAAGAGGAATTACTGTGTTACTAATTTTAAATTGCTTTCTCAAGAATATATTACCTTTTTGAAGTTTCTTTTAATGTTATTTAAGGTTCTCCTGAAAATCTTAATCATCATTCAGTTATTTCAATAAGAAACAGTGAGCATTATAAGGTACCAAATCACATCAAACCAAATCACCTCACCTCTATACCAAATGCAAATACCTAATACATGTGAGGGAGACACTTAAAGCTTTTCTGATAATTTAGCACACTGTATAAAAATCATCAGTTTTGAAGTTCATCAGGAATCCTACTTCACTTGGGGATTATCCCCAAGAATTTCGTGCACAGCTTATTCCTACAAATGAAAGCCCTTTGACACAGTAATAGTTACAGGAAGCTTCACAACAGCTTTTGTATTTACTTAGCCATAAATAGGGCCCATAAATTAAATTAAATTTAAATAAATTAATAAAAGCCTATACTTCTTAAGGAGTGCTTAAGCACAAATTGAAAACCAAAGAGAACAAGAGAGTTCACACTGTCTGCAACTGCTGAACTCTTAAACAAGGAAGTCAAATAGCAAGAAATAGGAAGTGAAGAGTAACAACCAATGACAGAAAGCATCTTAGCCCAATTTTTTCAGCCTTTCATGATCCTAAAATCACAGATTTTTGTGATTTGTAGGCCTGTATTTTAAAAACAAAAACTTTACTTTAAAGCAAAACTCAGGAACGCCTCCAAACCAAGGTGATGCCACACCGAGACAATCCTGAATGTGACGAACCTCTAAATGGCAGAGAGCATAGCCAAAGGGAAAAACACAGGGACGAAAACAACTTAGGCAGCTTTAGAGCCCACAGGCCGCGAGGGCGAGGAAGGTAGGCTCCCAGACCTCTAGGGTGAAGCTGAGGGAGCTCTGGCCCACCTGCCCCCGTTCTCTCCCTCCCTGACAGCCCAGGGAGATGCCTCCGGCGCCACAGGTTGGGCCGGGAGAGGGAAGGAAAGGCGCCTTCCCTACTCTTGGGGAGGAACAAGGCTCGGGCAGGCCCCGGCGGTACCACCGGCCTCCTCCGCGAGGGAAGCGGGGAAAACCGCCCGCAATCCGCCAGAAGGGCCGGAGACGCCCGGCACGGCGAAGCGGATGAGAAACAGTGCCCCAAAACTCGCCTCCTAAAAAACCAAAAAAAACCAAACGACTGCACCCCAGAGGCAGCCGCTGGCTCCAAGTACCTCCTGTGCGAGCGGGCCGCGCGCCGCTCCTTCCTCCCGGTCCGAAATTCCCGCACTGCCCGCGGCCCCAGGCGGCCCGCCCGCCCCGGCGCCACCTCCCAGTATCGNCGCCACCTCCCAGTATCGCCCGCAACCATTGGTCCGCCGAGTGCGGCCCTCCTTCTCCGTCCCCTCCGGTCGTGGTGCCTGCTGGGATTTGTAGTCTATAGCCTCAAAAAATGGCCGCAGGCGAGTCCAACACGGACTACACGTCCCAACAGGCACCGCGGCCAGAGATGGGCCAAGAGGTGAAGTCTTTTACAGTCGTAGAATCGGTTGGGTTGAAGAAGGCTTTTAAGACCCACTTTCACCGCAAAATCATGGCCAAGTGCCACATCCACACATTTGTAGAACATTGCCAGGGGTGGTGACTCCACCACTGCCCTAGGTAGCCTGTTCTAGTGCTTCACAGCTCTTTTCAGTGAAAAAGTTTGGGAAACCAACAAAACTTGGTTTCTTATGCTGTAGTAAGTTTGGGAAGGCCTTTGTCGAGCTGATACCACAGAATCAATTAGGTTAGAAAAGATCATCGAATCCAGGCTGTGACCAAACACCACCAGGTGAACTAGACCAGGACATTAAATGCCATGTCCAGCTTTTCCTTAAACACCTCCAGGGACAGTGATTCCTCCTCCTTTCATTGTCAGGTGCAAATGTCCACACATCCGCACTTGATTCTGCCAAGCTGTGAAGAGAGAGAGAGAGAGGTGCAGAAGATGAAAGACATAGAAAACCAGGGAATTTAGGGGATGAGGCAGGAAAATAAAAGGACAATTATTTTATTTTGTTAATTTACTGGGTGTTTCAAACCATTTTAACAGGCATTATGATTTCATGGTTGCCATCTTCATATGGTGCAGTTTTAGAGGTCCTAAATGGTTTCAAACAAAGAACTAGCTTTCTGTAGTATGTTCATCATGACAGTACTTACACAGATCTCCTTCACCATCTGGGCTACATTAAGAATGATAGAAATGTATTTCTTAAATACTAGGTGCTACTGGAGATGTAAAAGAATATGAACGGTTCTGAATGTTCAGAAAGACCAAAAACTTGTTTGAGCTAAGTGAAGAACACTACCAGACATGATAGCATTTCACTTGCTGTACCATCTTCTTTAGTATTGCATTACTGGGATCATGAAACCATTTTAAGATGCTGATGGAGAAAATTAAACGAGAAACTTAATAAATATTCTAATTCTACTTATGCATCACATTTTAATTTTAATAGAATGTAGTAGTAAAGTAGTAAAGTAAATTATGTTCTTCAAATTTCCATTCTTCCAAAAATTATAGAATGTCTTATAATTCAAGGATCTGTTCTCTGCAATCTTCTTTATTTTTCTACTTTGCAAAATGAGAAGAAAAATGCATATACATTGCCCAAACACCATGTCATACTACCAACAGTGCACTAAAACCACAAAAAATAATAAAAAAAAAAATAGCAGACAATTCCAAAATGAATGGAGACACTGTGCCACTACAGATCCTTGATAAAAGAATACACATGGACTACAATCAGCTGTCCTAACTAGAGGTTGAGAACTACAGATGGGAGTACAGATTAAGGTTATTGTACCAAAAAATCATCACATTATTTGTTCAAATTGCAGACCTCATGAATGGTTAGACCACAAAAGGTTTTGCTAAGAACCTTGTGGTTAGAGTCCATGAACAGTCTGTAAAAGAACAGTGGTATAATCACTTTCCAAGAAGCAAGCTTTTGATTCAGTACCTTTTGTTGCCATGGACCCACTCACCCACTTTGCACCTACTCTGGTGTGCAAGGAATTATACTTGTTTATATATGCATATATATAATTATCCATATATATATATATATAAATAAAAATAAAAATAAAAATATAATAATATAATATAATATAAATATATAATATATATAATATAAATATATAATATATATAATATATATAATATTATCCACTTGTTATCCTGCAATGGGAATATACTGCCACTAAGGAAAAAATGTGTTTACCGCAAACTTACTTTTTGTCCTCCCGTTCACATTTCACACTGTTTTTCTCAGACCATCTAATGTGCTTTTATTATACTTTAAAAGAGTATTCACTATGGTCTGAAAATATCAGAATGGCATTCCAGAGTTGTCTTATTTGTCCATTAATAAACATTTCAAGAGAATTTAAAGTGATCTACCCAGTAACCTCAGAGCTGGTGTGTATTTTAGGAGACCAGTACATCTGTGTGCTGTTAAAAGGTAGATAGGAATAAAACTGGTTTTGCCAATCTTTCCAGGTGCATTTACAAGTTAGACTAATTTTTGTATTTTTGGGAAGGTATTTAAATTTTTGTTTATTAATTCCTTCAGAATGCAGTGAATAAGAAAGTATTATTTCGAATACTTAATACATTTGATGAGACTATTTTTTTAATCAGTGCAGTTACTACACATCTGTCTAAAATGTTCCCCATGAGAAAAGGGGATCATCTAACTTTTCCTCACCAAAGGAAGGTACAGTATTGTTTTTTGTTAGGGTCAACTTCCTAAAGAACTTAATAAAGAATCACTTGAGCAAATAAATATTTACCCCTTCTTAAAAATGAAGAATTAGACACAGAGATGCTGAGTAAAGTTTGCTTAGCTTGAAGTAATGAAGGAAATTTGTAACAAATCTCAAAGTAAGACCTGGTTTACTTGACTCTTAATTCTGTATTATGAATTTAAAAGGCATTATTAATTGTACTTTTCAAAACATTTTAAAGTCAAAATTAAGGTGCTGAGACAGGAAAAATCTTAAATCTTGCAGCTCTTTAAAAATATCATCTGTATTCATTCCCCAAGTAGTTAATTTGTTAAAGAGAGGAATGGAATGTGGGGTAGAAGAGATCCAGTCTCTACAGCATACCCAATAATTTAACAGAAAGGGGATGAAATATTACAAAAATTGATGAAAACGCAGTGGAAGAAAAGCTACACAATGAGATCCATTGGAAGTTTCACTTTTTTCTGGCAGTTTTGTGATGCTAACAGACACATGATTTGAAGCTGTTAAAGGAAATAATTATAAATAAGTTGAAGCTTCTAAGATTAGAGCTTGTTTGAAGTGCATTAAATTAATCCAAATTAAAGGACTTTCATGAGTTTCTAAAGCATTTCTATGTTTTCTTTGGTCAAGGTCCAAACTCATATGCATGGGCAGTTTTTCTCTACTTAAATGACTGAATTGTCTTGACTGTGAAGTGTGTCCCCTCATCCCAGTAAGAGTGATATTTTTAGGTACAAATGCATTTTATCTGGGGGCAATACAGTGTATATCCTACACCGTAGATTTATTCACATGCACACAAACAGCAGTGCATAGGATCCAACTGTAACGATGCAAAGAACTTCTGTTTATCATCAAACATTTCATATATCCCATTACATGTGAAAGAATTATTATCTGTCCTGTTGCAGTGCAATGCTTTTTCCTGTAATGGAATTTTACTCTGCAAATTTATTTTGGTATTAAAAGGTTCCACTTTATAATGTCTATGGTTCAATCAGTGATCTAAAAGGCACTTAAATACTTTGAACAAGATACATAAAACGCTTTTATTGCAAAGCTTTGCTGTATCTACCAATTTTACCATTGATCTCTTTCCATGTAAGGCAGTTCTGGAAGCTGCCCATGCTGTATAAAATCACATGGTGGCTTTTGATCTCCAGCTGGTGATTAAAGCACATTATGGAGGTTTGAAATTTTCTTGTGGTCATTAGCATACCTCCAAACACTTCTCTGCTAATATAGTAGTGTTGTCACTATATGCTATTTAAGTAAGAAACCAGAATTCTATAAACTTATTATTTTCTACTCTTTGTAGCTCAGAGGATATAGATCTCTTGAATGAGGTGAGCTTATACTTAGCTGTGGACTTACTGATCAAATAGTGATTTCTTAAGGCTCTAGCAAAATGCATGAAAGAATGAGGGTATATTTTTTAAAACCCTCTTTTGATGCAAACGGGGAGAGCTCTGTGCCTTGTACTCCCTATCTACAGTTCCATATTTCCCACTGCTTAAAGACATCACTCTCACTTCCAAGGTCACCAAGCTGTCGTGTGTTTTCTACAGTGGGTTTTTAAACAATGCAATATTAACTCTTTTGCTTGAAAATAGGAAAAATAGCATTTTTCTGCACACTTTGAAAATGTATTTGCGTGTTGGGAAAAATGAAGAATCACCACATACTTGTTACTTCCTCTAGCAATCTATTCCGTTCTTTCCAGAGAAAATAAATGAGTATGCCAGCTTTATATATTTTTTATCTTTCACTTTATTCTATTAGATTGCATCTTATTTGTGTATTTTTGCCATCTATACCTTGCCAAGAAGCAAAGTTTATTGAATGTTACCCAGATACAGAGGAAAACATAGCACTTGTTCAAAGATATTACAGTCAGTAAATACCAAATAAATTCAAAAGCCTTGTTAGTTGTTCTACCCTGTCTCCTTACTCCCCAAAATAGAACAAATATAGGTAACCTGGTTTCTGACATGTCAGTGGTTATACACTGTTAAAAGGGAATAAAATCTGGGTCGAGGGAAGAATATTGGCCTAGAATGGATTTTGCAGTTGTAAGGGACACATTTGAAAGGACAGTAAAACTTGTGGAAGAGATGTGCAGGCAAAATATCAAGGTTAGCAGATATCAGCAGAACCATGAAGGAACACAGTTTTGAGTCAATTATATTGTATAGCACCTTGAATTATTTAAATCTAGGAAATAATAATTTCTTATCTCTGCATTTATCCATCAGTTTCATGAGAGAGACCACTAAGAATTTATCATTTAGGTAATATTTTTGCTTCTAAAGTACACGCTAAGATCTTTTATAAGAATGGAGACAGCAGTTTTTGTCTGAGGAGCATGTTCAGAGGAAAAAAAAAAACAACAAAAAGCTAATGAAAATTAGCACATTTCATCCTTTTTTAATATCAAAAGTTAATCCATATTCATATAAATAGTTTTTCTGGTGAATTAACTGTCTCATACAAACTTTCTTTGAGGAAGTAAAAGGGGAAGAAG